AAATTGTTTGTATAAACCCTGAAGGCACCTTACTTCGGGCATTTGGTAGCAATCACGTCAGAAAGTTTCTTAAATTTAGTCATGGCCGGTGAGATGGTTGAACTGGCCATAAAACAAGGAAAGATGAAAGAGGTGACTCTAGTAGAAAGCCTCCCGTGAAGAACAAGGACCGCGAGATCAATAATCTCAACACCTACCACGCTAGCAAAGGTGTTACAATCTCAAAAACAAATGCGGCTGTACCATCTGGTACTTCTAACCAATCTCAGAGAGAACCCAGAAAGGAAAGGGAACATTTCGACCCTATTCCGATGACATACAAGGAACTCTATCAGCAACTTCTTGACACCCACGTAGTGTCACCATATCCGATGGAACCCATGAAGCCCCCATACCCCAAGTGGTATGATGAGAATGCACATTGTGAATATCACGGCGGTGTCCCAGGGCACACAATTGAGAACTGTTACGCATTCAAGAGAGTCGTACAGAAGATGCGTAACCAGAACTGTATCGACTTCAACAACTTGGGGGCATCCAAGTAAGGAAGATCATTTCATCATTTGAGGCATTCTGTTTGAACTTGTTTTTTCTCACTTTTTCAAGTTTTGTAAGAACATTTATGTTATTTTAATGATGACGAGCAATGAATCACATTTGCAAACTTGTAATTCTTTGAATATCATTTGAATTAAGAAACTCTGTGAATGGTTCAAAGTTACGAATCTTTGATAAAGTAACATGTTTTAAAACAAGGACCTTGACCTTACCCAGAATATACCCTCAAACACCGTACCCTCATCTTACAATTAACCAATACAACCTGTTCCTTTCATAAGGTACGGACAACATGGGGCATCATTTGCATATGACAATTACTATGTTTTTTATTTAAGATGTTCAATGACGATGATGATCTTTACAAATGAAAGAGTCGAGTAGGTGAATCTAGTTTAGGTCAATTGCTTGAAAATTAAACTCTAAAGATGAAATTTTTGACTTTCAACAAACACCTAGGCTATAACAGGTTCTTCTTGACAATCTTAAGAAATTAAATCCGTAAAGCTGAGCTATTCCACTAAGGCAATTGGTTATAGAGGAAATTTGAAAGCCCTGGTCTTATGAGTAGATTACGTTCAAACCATGACATTGCTCGGACACTTGGCACTTCGGTGTTTGCTCCGCTGCTCTTGTCAGGCTGAAGACTCTGTGATGAAATGAACCCTTCAGTGAACTTGATAAAACTGATTATAATATTAAGTGGTCCCTCTAAAGTAATTGGTTAAACGCCCCGGCTTTATGGATCCAGCTTGCCAGATAACGGCAAATTAAATCAAATTTATCTAAGCAAGAAATTTTTGGTAATGTTGGACTAAGGGAGTTAAGGAACACCTGTTATAGCCGACTACACACGAGCACTCAAGAATTTCATTTTTAGACCGATATTTTTTGCACTGCCTTTGTTGGAGGAGCCTACAAAGCTTGAACAAATGGAAGATTTCAGAGGACCGAAATAAAATGTCTAGTAATTGGTCATTCTAGTTGCGTCATTTTGTCCGCACCCAAATGAAATGCCAAAGCATATTTCGATATTTAAAAAAGATGACATTTTGGGTTACCAAAACCTTAGAAAGGAGGCCAACCTAAAGCCAACTCATCCATTTGAATATTTGTCAAAGATTTGTAACTCTGAAAGCATTAAAAGAGCTCTTGATTCCTTTGATATTTTTTGAACTCACATTTACAATTTGATTCAATTGCGAACAATATTTTACAACATTTTATCATTTCTCTCTCTTAAAACAAGAAAAAGGAGAAAAACATTTTCAAGCAGAACAGTCTCAGATATGAAAGGTCTGTAAAGCCAAAGCTCGGGAAGCAAATGGGGCACGATCCATTCCAAGGACCAGATTGACAGGCCAAACATAAGACTCCATCCAAGAAATAACACATAATTCATTCATGTTGCATGCATCTTAGACATACTTAGGTGCATCACATTCGTCATTTTGGCATACATGATTTTTTGCAGCTTTTATAATCAAGTTTCAACTTCAGGATGAAGGATACTCGATTCACAAGCGCCTTTGAAGAACGATGGTGGTTGCTTAACTCAACAGTGAGAAGCTACACCTCAACCGACTTGACATATCTACAGATCTCAGAACCAATTTCAGATAGGTTCGAGAACCAATTCAGACCAAATCCAGTTCAACAACTCAACAAAGAACAACATATTTCAAGTTAATGTCTTCAAGCCAGATTTCAATTCCACGACCGAAGATATTCGGCTGACAGAATTCATCAGTGGGCTTTCCCGTAAAAGGGGAGTCATTCAAAGATCGTCTCATTTGGTTCAGACTCGCTCAGAGGAACCACCTGAAGAACTACGACCGGTTTAGACCTGTGAAGAGAAGCCATTTTTTTAAGACAACATTTGCAATATAGCTCAAGACAGGAAGGGCTATTTGCCAACCAAAGACCTTCGAGTTCGACTACACTCAGCTCAAAGGTACATCATTTGTAGCATAGCTTAAGTCGAGAAGAGCTATCTGCCAAAGACCCCCGAGTTCGATTACACTCAACTTTGAGGGCATATCATTCACATCATAACTCAAGTCTAGAAGGGTTATCTGTTATCAAAGACCTTCGAGTTCGACTACGCTCAGCTCCAAGACATATAATTTGCAGCACAACTTAAGTCTAGAAGGGTTGTCTGCCAACAAAAGACCTTTGAGTTCGACTACGCTCAGCTCAACGACACATCATTTGCAGCATAGCTTAAGTCGAGAAGAGTTATCTGCCAAAGACCCCCGAGTTCGATTACACTCAGCTTCGAGGGCATATCATTCACAGCATAACTCAAGTCTAGAAGGGTTATCTATCACCAAAGACCTTCGAGTTCGACTACACTCAGCTCCAAGGCATATCATTTGCAGCACAACTTAAGTCTAGAAGGGTTGTCTGCCAACAAAAGACCTTTGAGTTCGACTACGCTCAGCTCAACGGCACATCATTTGCAGCATAGCTTAAGTCGAGAAGGGCTATCTGCCAAAGACCCCCGAGTTCGATTACACTCAGCTTTGAGGGCATATCATTTACAATATAGCTCAAGACTAGAAGGGTTATATGCCAACCAAAGACCTTCGAGTTCAACTATGCTCAGCTCCAAGGCACATCATCTGCAGCATAGCTTAAGTCGAGAAGAGCTATCTGCCAACCGAGGACCTTTGAGTTCGATTACACTCAGCTCAAAGGTAAATCAAGTTCACAGCATAGCTCAAGGCAAGAAGGGCTATCTGTCAATAAATTATCAAGCTCGATTTCATTCAGCTCGATGACAACGAGGAACTATTTTCTGGAAGAATTTTCAAGCCGAAATCTTTAAAACGAGAAGAAGACAAAGCCCCAATTCCAGGAAGCCCAATCACATTTGAGAGGACCGGATAAAAACTGATTGTCTTTTTTCATCTTTGTCCTATTCTTGTTAACACAAAAATGTGCAAAGAGGGGCAGTTGTAGACACCCATTTTTATCCGGGCAAAAAATATATTATGTTATTATTATTATTATCATTATTATTAATAATAATTTATATTATTTTGCTGCCCTCCATGCAACGTTCCAGTGATCAACTTATGCTGAAGGAAAGGACTACTGAGTCAACTCAACATCAACTGAGACATGATCTAAATGGCCCCATTTTTAACCCCCAAGTATCTCCACCATTCCACTAAACCCCTGAAAATCTGGCTAGAATCTCTAGCCAATGCAACCTCCCAACAACTTTTTTTCCTAAATAAATTCAAGTGATCAGGGGGAGGAATGGGAAAAATAAAAGGGAGAGATACGGGGGGCACAGACGGAAAGCAAAAGGGTGGGGGAGCAAGAAAAGCATCAAAACATTAAAGAGAGAAAGAGGTGTTGTGGCCTCTCGGCTATGGCACGAAACCACCCAGCACATGCCCTCTTCCATGAACCAGAAACTCAAGCATATTATCTCAACATTCAAGTCTTCAAAGAACATTGAAGACAAAAAAACTTTCCTTGTTGGCATTCAAAAACTTTGTTCATGACCATGAAGGACTGCATGATCTGACTTCTTATGCGAAGCACATTTTGAAAAGTTTAAGAGAGTAAAGAAAATCCAGTAAAAGTTTCGGGGTCATTGTGGATTTGTCAGATATAGCGAGAAAGCTTGATCTCTCACAACATGAGATGCTAGTCTGAAAAGCGGCATAACTCCGGCGCCTCTGCGATGTCCAGTTTGATTCCTCCATTATCGGCATCGGAGAGGTTTGTAAAGCTGTTGTTTGCTTAGAAATTGCTGCTACAAGGGGGCTTCTGGCGGGATCAATTCCACCCTCTTCATTTTCTCTCTTCATCATTATTACACTTTTGTAACCACACTGCAAAACCAGAAAGCTTCCACGTCTACCTCAAAGCTTCCATTTTCCACCTCCACACTATATTCTCAACTTGGAAAATGGTTGGCACGTGAGGAAGCAATTCCAAAGATAAAGTGTTTTCCCTGAGCAAGGCATTCCCTTGAAGCTTTAGTGTCGTGTGATGTGACAACAATCAATACTTTGCTGGGTATTATGATCGAGAAAGTGAATGTGCTGAATTCACTCGCATAATCGTTAATTCCAAAAGAAGGAAAATTTCAAAAGTTTTATGTCTTGAGGGTGCCTAGTGGAAAGGATCTTCAATCGAAAACTTCACAATGAACCGCAAGCGCATCACGCTACAAAGCAAGTTAATGGAGTTGTCGAGCAAACGACTGCTCCTGCTCCTGTTCAAGCTAATAGTGCTACAGGCTGGGAATTGGCATTTGTCACTGCTCCAAGCTCAAACGAAGGCGATGCAGCTACAAGCAAATTAGCCGGATGACTTGACAAGCTTACACTGGATAGCCTGTACAATGGTGCAATCAGAAGAATCAACCAGAATACGGGCTAAATCCATGGGCATATATAATTCAAGGTTTTTCTTCAACAATGGTGGATCTTCAAACTGTTTGTTGTTTGTGCGGCGAAGTTGGTTTCCCCGACAAACTCTTTCGATGCAACAAATGCCACCACCGCTTTCAACACTCGTATTACAGTACCAATTATAGCGAGTTCGCGGAGCCAATTGAACAGTGTGATTGGTGCCAAAGCAAAGAAAGAAACTCGAGGCATGGAAGCTCTTCAAAGAAATCACCGGCTGGAAATGGAACTGGAATAATTGTAAAGCGGTCCGAGTATTCTGGCGACAAAATCGAGATGAGAGTTGTAGTGATCACAAAGGGAAAGAGCAGTGGCACTCCTTCTCCAAGGCCTACCACACACATGAAGGAGACAAGTCGTTTATTTGGATTTGATCCATGGAAAATGTAGTCGTCTGTTTCCAAACAGTTGTCTTAATTAAACATGATTCATAGTTGCTGCAACTTCAATTGTTTTGTCATTTGTTTAAGAATTGGTGTGAGAATATTATTTTGTAAGATTGTGTTGTACGGTGTGGAATCTATTGCTTATTAACATGAGATTTGATTTATGTTTCATATTCGATTTGAGTGTTGTGGTGTGTTATTTTCAATTCCTTTAAGCTTTCAATTTGATGGTTTGGATTATAATTCATTATCTTATTTTATTTTATTTATTTTTCTTTTTTTCTTTGATTTATTTATTCATTTTTTATATAACATTTTTTATTTTTTTTTTGAGGAATTCTAACAAATCAAAGGTAATTAATTTGAATCGAGTTTTTAAATTTCAATTTAAATTTCAATTTTTCACAAATAAGGCAACGACAAATTAATTGGTACCGAAAGGACAGTTCAAGGGTGCTAATCCTTCCTTGACCGTAACCGACTCCCGAATCCGACACATCTTTGGAAAGACGTAGATCAGGTAAGAAATAGGGTATCCGATCAACCCATTTGTTTTAAAATAAATGATCAGTGGCGACTCCAATTAGTTTAATCCAAGTCGAAACCTAAATTCGAGTCCACCCGAAAGACGGTTACGACAGTTGGAAATAAAACACTCACACAAACAACTTTTATTGAAACTCAAACAAATATTACAAGAGCACTCTCACTCAAAACCAAGAACTACAACTCACTCTTATAAGATTTTGCTTCTTCACTCACTTAGAAGCTCTTAATTTTTCTTGATGCTTAAAACTAAAATGGGGAGGGGTATTTATACTACTCAAGAACAATCCTACACCACACAAATAAACTAATTTAAACCATTACAAATTCAACAAATACCTAACTCTCACCTAACTAAATTGATGTAAGCAATGGCATCATTACTTAAATGATGTAAGCAATGACATCAATTTAGTTTGGGTTTGGGTTTAGGCTCCCATAATGGATCAAGTTTATGATCCAACAGGGACATGGTGCACAGAGCAAGAGGAGCTCATGACGATGGCTTGTGATTTCTTTCGCAAGTTATTCACCTCATCAGGGACGACATTCAACAATCTCCATGATAAATGTATGTTCAAGACATTATCTAATGAAGAATCCAATTCCTTAATTGCACCGGTTACAAAGGAAGAGATCAAAGCATCATTCTTTGATATGGGAATGCTCAAGGCACCAGGCCCAGATGGACTAAATGTTTTTTTCTTCCAACATAATTAGGACATAGTTGGAGACACACTATTTAATTACATTGAGAGCATCTTTGAAAGTAGCATAATCCCGCCAGAGCTCAACAAGACCCTTATCGTACTACTCCCAAAAATTTCTACGCTGGAAAACATTAAACAATTCCGACCGATAAGCTTGTGCAATGCGTTTATAAGGCAATCTCAAAGATCATTGTGAATATATTAAAACCTTTCCTACCTGACTGGGTCTCCGAGAATCAAACAAGTTTTGTCCCCGGCAGAGCAATTACAGATAACATCATCATCACACAAGATGTTATACATTCTATGCTGAAAAAACAGGTAAGAATGATTGGATAGCTATTAAAGTTGATCTTGAGAAAACGTATGATAGACTAGAATGGGGTTTCATTGAAGACACCTTAAGAGAAATGCGCATACCTGACAAACTATGGAACTTAAGCATGCAATGTATCAGTACAGTCTCTACTCAGATTCTCTAGAATGGCACGTTAACTAAAGCTTTCCTACCTCAGAGAGGAATAAGGTAAGGGATCCACTCTCTCCCTACCTTTCCGTACTCTGCATGGAAAGATTGACTTACTATATCCAATCATCAGTCACTCAAGGACAATGGAAGCCGACATCCAAGAAAAACCCAACAATTTCACACTTTTTTTTTGCTGATGACTTGATTCTCTTCGCCGAAGCTTCAATGACCAACAACTAGTCATCAGCACAATACTGAACAAATTTTGTGACGAATCAGGACACAAGGTGAGTAAAGATAAAACAACTCTTTACTATTCCAAAAATGTCACTATCGAATTGAGAGGGCAGTTAAATGATTCTTTCGGCTTCACTGAAGTCACGGACATGGGCAAATACCTCGGAGTTCCTATACTCCATAACAGAGTCACATCTACTACTTACGATTATCTCTCTAGCAGGACGAGTTACGCTAGCGAGAGCAGTTCTAGCAGCCATCCCCAATTACACCATGCAAACTTCTGTACTGCCGAAGAAAATATGCATGGAACTTGAAAGGATAATCAATCGCTTTGTATGGGGTTTCAACAATGATGGAAAAGGAGTACACCTGGTTCGTTGGGAAACAATGTGTACCCCGCTTTCCCAAGGAGGACTCGGTTTTAGAAATCTCCAAAGACAGAACGAGGCTTACATAATGAAGCTTTGCTTTTAACCTTATAGCCAACAAAGAAGCCCTATGGGTCCGTTTCTTGAGAGCAAAATATAGATGCCAAGAAAGAATACCTACAACAATCTCGAACAGCAATTCCTTAAGAATCTGGAAAGGAATAGCTATGGTTTGGGATGATGTAAGAGAGATTGTTGCATGGAATCAGGGGAATGGCTCCTTAATTGATTTCTGGCATGGTTCATGGATTAAAAAGAAAAACCCTCTAATCTCATATGTTCCCATGCATCTGAAATCAACAATAAGAGAAGTAAAAGTCGCAGCTTTACAACAAAGGAAATTGGTTTTGTGAAAAATTTCAACAACTATTACCAGCGGACGACGTGCTACGGATAGCAGCAACTAAAGGTCCAGTCGCTGAATACTCGGAGGACTCCATTGGATGGAAGACGAGTAGCAATCAAAAGTTCTCGATCAATACAGCATATGGATTAAGGATCTGACCAGCGGTGGAGAGGAATAAAAAGTTGTCGAAGACGTTACACAAATTTAAAGGGCCACAAAAAATCAAAACAGTCATGTGGCTGGTGTGTTCTGACAAGGCCATGACGAATGCGGAGAGAAGGAGACGCCACCTCACAACGAATGATAACTGCCCTGTATGCGCAAATACACCAGAAGACATAAATCATATGCTTCGATGGTGTCCCCAAGAACTTGGCGTATGGACGGTTTTAGTAAAACCATAAAAATTGAACGAATTCCTCTCCATGGATTTACGAGACTGGATCCAAATCAATTTGACAAATCCATGCAATCTGGTTATTGAGATCCAGAACTCGGATCTACTATTTGGAGCAATATTATGGAACATATGGCTGTCTAAAAACGCAGTTGTTCTTGACTCTACAGTTTATGAGTTTGGCACGATCATGGAGAGAAGCCGCAGACTACAACAGATGTGCATCCGAGCAAACCAAAAAGCATCAATGCCATACACTCAAGTAATGGACCAAGCTCCCATAATCGTGAAAGACAAGAAGAAAGTTTGGACAAAACCCTCAACCGGCTGGTATAAAGTCAACTCTGACGCGGGTAGGAATACTAATAACTGCATCACAACATTTGGAAGGGTTCTTAGAGATCATAACGGGAAATGGGTTGTAGGGTTTTACAAATATATAGGAATATGTTCTGTCCTTGACGCAGAATTATGGGGGATATTCACAGGAATGTTGACTGCATGGGATCAAGGAATCCGGCAGAAACGGACAGTTTGGAGGCCTACAATCTGATCAGAAGCAAAGATAGAAGCAATGGTGTACATCCTACACAATCTCACATCCGGAATATAGAGAGAAGAGATTGGTTAATACGCTACAGCAACGTCCACCGTGAAGGGAACCAAGTTGCTGACTCACTGGCTAAACTAGCAGCTCCTGGAGATTTCAACGTGCACATAATCAATGAAGCACAACAGACGGTGGCCAAGATGCTCCAAGATGAAGAAACCGCACAGTAGGTCGTTTTAGATTCGTTTTCTCAAAAAAAAAAAGTAAACCATAAAAATTAACAGTTAAAGGATTTAATTTCATTAAATTTAAAAGTTTTAAAAATTAATTAAACCACATAAATTAGACTTGCATCTCCCACCTATAACGTACATTTGTCCCTGTCCTCATATCTTATCTTTGAATTAATTAATAGTATTCGATCTATTGACTGATTAATTTAGATCGAGTTTTACAGAGACTCATTATAAGAGCGACCCTCTCAACCCAGTTTATTCCATTATCAAATATCAAAATTTCAACCTTTAACCTCACTCAAAGATTTAATGTCTCATTTCATTACACGAACTTTATGTTAATTATATATTTTGTGTTACACTGAGGAGCAACTGAAGTTATTACATCGATTGCGATTCACTTTAAACTAAAATAATCAAAGTGCCTCCAATAACTTGTAAATTTAAATTGGGATTTGATTTTATTTTTATAATAATAAAAGGAAACTAAAACCTTATAGCTGTAATAGATCTCATCAGACATATTGAAGTAGTTTTAAGTTGGATCAATCAAAACTTGGAAAGATATTATTAATTCCATGTTTAGTTACTTCAAGTTTAAGTTTAAATTATTTTGGTTTTGATTTATATGAATTTGTTCATCTAGATTATTCAAATTTATCATTTACAGAAGAATGTGTTATACATATTTATTTACGTGAATGTTTATTATAAATAGGACTTTATATATAATATATGATTTCTGATATATTTTATTATCAAATCTTTAATATCTATTAGTATTAGAGGCTAAAAAAAATCTTTCAACACATTCACCAAGAAAGCAATACATAATACCCTATCTTATTCTTTGTTTGCTTTCTTTATTTTACATAACATTGATTTTTTTACTAATTCCTTATACTTAAATTATTTAATAGCTAACCTTTTGAGTTATGTCATTATAAGTTGGGATACTTTTAGATTCTTATCATTTCTGGTTTATACAATTCCATATTTGAATCATATTATATTTGTATTATTTAAATTCCGAGTTCAAATAAATTTAAATTTGAATGAATTTAATATCAAATTTAAATTAT